CCCCCTCTTTGATGACGCTCCTCCCATCACCACCACTCATTCTTTTAAGCAGAGGGATAATTTTAACGTAAATAGCCAAATATGTGAAAGTTGCATACAAACAAAAAAAGGTAAATGCAACCATAATAAAACAAACGAAAAACCATATAAAAGAATGCGCAATAATAATAGAGAATTAATGAGTCCTATATTCACCTGACTTTATTTTTTTATTTTTATTTTTTTTTTCATTAATCCGTTTTACCTCATGTTTTTTTTTTTTCTTTTTTCGTTTGAATTCTCTTGCTCATTCTTTCGATTTTTCTTCTTCTTCATCTTCTTCATCATCTTCACCATTTGTTTTTCTCAGCTGCTGTGACCACAGTTCACTATACAATCCATTGTTTTCCAAAAGTTTCTCATGTGTACCACTCTCTGCCAGACCTCCTCTACCATCTAGTACAAAGATAATATCCACATCTTTAATCGTGCTGAGACGGTGTGCAATGAGAATTATAGTTCGCTTCTTTCCATTGACTTCTTTTAATTGCTGCATCACCCGCATTTCCGTCGCACTATCTAATGCCGATGTCGCTTCATCTGCCAGAAGAATGGGTGGATTATCCAGTAAAGCCCGTGCAATAGAAACTCGTTGTTTTTCTCCACCTGAAAGTTTTAAACCACGCTCTCCCACAGAGGTTTCATATTGATTAGGCATTTTCATAATAGCATCATGAATATTCGCCAAATGAGCCGCATTCTCCACTTCCGCATCTGTAGCATCTAAACGTCCATAACGAATATTATATCGCAGGGTTTCATTAAAAAGAACTGTATCTTGTGGAACTACACCAATAGACTTTCGTAGACTTTCTAGTTGTACATCAGGAAGTGGTTGTCCATCAATAAGAATAACACCATCAGTTGGATCGTAGAAACGATAAAGTAATCGAAATATTGTACTCTTCCCACTTCCTGAAGGACCAACAAAGGCTACTGTCTTACCACCAGGAATAGTAAGAGATAAATGACGAAGTATATGTTGTTCTCCTTTACCATCAAATGTAAAAGATACATTTCGCATTTCAATTGTACCAGAAGTTAGTTTTAATGGTTTCGCATCTGGCTTTTCTTTAACAGAATTTTCAATATCCAGTAAAGCAATCATAGCTTGCATATTTTGTGTTGATGATTGTACCTCACGGTATAACATACCAAGAAAACTAAGAGGTGTATAAAGTTGCATCAGTAAAGCTTCAATAAGTACCATATCACCCACTGTCATTGTACCTGCTAATACCCCAAAAGTAGAGAGATATAATGAAACCACTGCAGCAATTATAAATATAGCATTTTGTCCAAAATTTAATAATGCCATTGATTGATCTAATCTTTTGAGTTCATGGTTCATTTTACTAGTTTCTTTAAGAATACGATCTTCTTCATGACTCTCTCTCCCAAAGTATTTTACAGTTTCATAATTAAGTAGAGAATCCACAATAAGTCCACCTACACGACTATCGCTCTTATTAAATCGATCTCTATATTGAGCCCGAAAGTTAGATATCACATATGTCCATCCAATATATGAAAATACTGCAGATAATGCGGTAATAATAAAAGCAGGACCTGCGCTTGTTTGAAGCGCTGTACACACCAACACCACTTCAAAAGCTGTTGGTAATATCATAAAAAGTAAAGCATGAGAAAGAGACCAGAATGCACGACTACCACGATCAAGATCTTTACTAAGTACACCTGTCTCTCTACCGAGATGATAGTGTAAATCAAGAGAATGTAATTTTCTAAATAATTCCATCGCTATAGTTGTTGATGCATGACTACCAACAGGAGCAAAAAGTGCAGTCTTTAACTCTTCTGTGAGTGAACTTGTAAGGCGTGTAATGCCATATGCAGTAACTAACCCAAATACACCTAATTGTAATGGACCTATAGTAGTTACAACATCTGTCACCGCAGTGGATGGTGTAAGTGTATCTACAATCATTCGAAACCAAAATGGAACCGCTACTTTTAATATTTTCGCGGCCAATACACATAAAACACTTAACACTACTAATGCTCGATACTTTGGTTCTCCTCGTGGCCATAAATGCCGCATAACATGAGTTACCACTCTGTATACTGGAATTCTACTCCACACTTCATCAGTAACAAGAGAAGTCTCTGATAACTTGGGCTTTCCTCCATTCACACCCTTCTCATTCTTTTCCTTCTTCTCCCCTTCTTCTTCTTCTTGTTGTTGTTTAGATGAACTCTCTGTGGTGGATGTCTTCTTTGGGCCAGTGGCAACTCCCCGTGATGGTTCAAGCCACGGGTGAGTGGCCTGGTGAAATCCCCGCCTGCAACTCCACAGTGAAGGCACCACAACACTATTGGTGGTTATTCTCATGTGAACATTACTGCAGTTCTCAAATCTCCTCAAGGGAAGTGTAGAGAAATGAACACCAACGCTTCTCGTACCACACAAAGGCCAATGTATCCATCGTCTTAACATGCAAGCACTACCTTGCATCACCGCCGGTAGGAAGAGACCCCTTCACAAAACAAGAAAACTAATTCAAACCCTTTATAGTAGTTAATGAGGAGAAAAACAAAAATATATATATATATACATATATGAAAGAATGAAGAAGGGGAACCAAAATACTTGGATAACATATATATATATATATACCACAGACAAACAAATCTCTCTTTGTCGTCTCATCACTCTCAGAGTCAAAGCTACCAATACCACTTTCATGTTCATCATCGTCATGGCAAAAAAAAAAAAAAAATGAAGAATAATATTTCAGCAGAGCACCAATGCAATCGCAAAGGGTGCAAATGAGTCAAAAAGTAAAATAATAATAAAATAAAAAAAAAACACTTGCTAGAGTTGCAAACAAAACACATCACATCACATCACTCCATACTCCACTCCACACTCCACACTCCAAATACAGAAAACAACAGATAGAAGAACGGTAGGAACAACTCATTACCGGCTGGGACTGTAATAACTTGTCTGTGTAGGTCCCATCTCACCTCCATGAATACCATGAGAACGAAGAGGTCTTCGCACACGAAACCGAAAAGGAACGGACGGTATGTCGTCCACAAGTTCTCCACACGCCAATCGCAAACAACACGCTTCTAAAAAATCCAACTCTGTTCTGGAGAGTGTATCGGTTGTATACCACAATCCAAGATTTCCACCCCGAGAAACGGTGCCACTCTCATCAAGGAATACAGCACGGCAAAATCCAGCCCGTGATAAATGCGAGGCAATACCATCCACACCATAAAGAAGAAGTGTCCCATCACTCGTTAACTCTAATGACACCACCGCATCAGGGAAACGGCGCACAAAGGTCCAATCATCCCGCCCTAAACCACAGTCCACACAGCACTGTACAGTACCATCCTTACTCTTCACTAACATCTTCTTGCATCTGGGGCAGTGTGCTTCCCAGAGACGGGCCTGAGAGGACAACACACGACGCGGCGGTTTACTCTCTATATAGCAGACAACCACCAAATCATCATCTTGTGTTGGCAGATTGGGAGTCCCTCCACTCCAGACACAACTTCCCTGTGAAAACTGGGTTGGTGGTAATTCAGGTCGTTCTTCTGATAATCGTTCATGTTTAACATGGAAAGAACCAATACCTGTTTCTCCCTTTACGGAAGATACAGACTCAGGGGAAGGAGTAAAAGCCCCACAATCGTCACCATCATCAGCTAGTTGAGTAGAGTCTATAATTTCTGTTACTTGTCTTTTCTTTTGATCTCGTGATACATCACCACTACGGTAACCTCCATCTGCATCTAAAATAACTAAACGTGTCCCTGGTGGCATCTGTGATAAAACATGAAGCTGCCAACAGTCTATTTCAAGAGTAGAAGCCGCTACACGTTGTTCACATACGGGACAAGGTGCCATTGGGTCTCGCATAGAACGACATTTTTCCAACAAAGCAATCCATGACTTTAAATCGCAACATTGAACATGACGACAACTTTTACTTCGAACAGGATACTCCATCGCTAACCGAGAATATGGACAGATAAGAGAAAATTCAATTGTCGATACTTCAACTCCATCACCACCTAATGTCCCAAAGGCTATATCCCATACTCGTTGGCGATGTGTTTGAAGTAACTTACTATTAATCCCGTTTTTTCCTCCATTTACCTCATTAAGAATTCGTTGTTTTAGATTTAATGAACTCTCAGAGTATAGGGCAGAGGGGTTTGAAATCCCACTTGTATGTTTATGATGTCCATGTGAACGTGTCTCATTCTGACGAGCACCAAATAAACTAGCTAACGAGCCTGACGATTGAGCATTTCCTCGATTTGATGAACGTGGTGGCATCAATGGTACTCTCGTTTATTTAATAGTAGTAGTAGTATTATTAGTAGTAGTAGTAGTAATAATGGAATTCTATGGATTAGTCTTCGAATTTTAAAGGCTTTCTCTTCTTATGCTGTTGTTGCTGCTGCACCTCCTGCCCAGAAGAGGGGAGCTGAGCTGGAAGCCAGTTCCTCCCCTATTACTTTGTGTAGAAACACAATCACGCCAACAAGGGGGAAGAAAGTAAGACCCCTCAGTAATAATAATAAAAGAAAAAGATGAGAGAAGAAAAAAAAAAAAAAATAATAATAATAATAATAATAACAAAGACACAGAAATAATGTAACCAAACCAAGAGAAGCAAATAAGGATTTAACATATGGGTGTACACAATATGTGTTTGCTGTCAAAATATTTTACATTGATTTTTTTTTTTTAAAAAAAAGGGGGTTTGTAGTTGTCATTTCTTCTTTCAATTTATTCGTGCTAATAAATATTTTTCCCAGATGTACACATGAAGTGATACTTAATAAGCTAAAAAAAAAAAAAACCGGTTGGTAAACTGTGGAAAGGAAAAGATGATGAAAAAACAAGGAAGTAAGAAATAAAAAAACTGAAAGAAACTTCACACTTTGACTCGCCCTTTCCTCTTTTCTCAGTTACTGGTAATACACAATTCATCATTTTGTTGTTCTTGTCGTTTCACTTCCCCCCACCCCCACCCACTTGTTCCACTTCAATGATGTTTATTTTATTTTTTCTTTTTCTTTTTTTTTTTTCTCTTCTGTGGTCATGAAAATCGGGTTCCTGCAACCTGTAGGAGGTCCCTTAGTCATCTCGAAGGGCATAAGCCCATCTGCCGCGGCTCACACCAAACATGAGGAGAGAAAAACACCAAGCATAATATAAACCCACTAACGCCGTTGGCTGCAAAAGTGCCTTTGTACGGAGACCGTGAAGTACAAACTGTGCAGAGGCACAAATCGCAGCTATGGAAGCGTATGCATTAGAGAGAGTGGCATCAAACTTATAACTATAAGCGGCAACAGCACCTACAGTAGTGTTAAAGGCACCAGTAAATAACATCATACGACGTTGTGTTAAATACCAGGCTTGAACAGATCCTATTGCATTTAATGCGGAGAACAAAGAGACTTGATAAACGAATGGGATAAAGTACATTATTATTCCCTATCTTTATAGAGAATAGTTACTCCTATTCTCACAAAAAGAGAAAAAGAGAGAGAAAAGGAGAGAAAAGGAGAGGAAAAAAACAGAAATCATGTTCCTCTCAAACCCAAATTATGTTCGTTATAATATTATTTAAATCTGAGATGTATAAAATACAAAAAAAAAGGCATTGAGAATGAAAGAGGAGGAAGATGTCAAGTGGAAAGGCACTAGAATGTGTCCATCATTATTAGTAATTTTTTTTTTTTTGCACAATCTCATGATTTCCACTATTTCTTTTGAACTCATCGTTCTTTTGCAAACACCCGCCCCCTTCACCTTACTTCACCTCACCTCTCTTTCCTTCTTTTCTTCCCTCTATCACACACACACACACAGAGAGAGAGAGAGAGAAAGAGTCAACACAGTCACATATACACACACACATACACTCCATTTCTCATTTCTCTTCTCTAGTTGTAGTAACACTCCCCAAGTGCAGCGAGAAAAGCGGAAATTGACAGTCGCCGCCGCCACGACGAAGTTGCAACGCCGCACGTTGGTGAATTACTATTCACATCCGGTGGCGAGTACGCCTCTAAGAAGAGTGGCGAGTGACTCGGACTCGGCACAAACACCTCCACCTCCTCACACGAATTGCGACCCCGCACTGGAGTACACAAGGAGGCTGAAGAACCAACACCAATACCAACACTAGTACGAGTACTACCCACACTAACACTTCTACCAACATTCATACAAGACTCACCAGGAAGTACACCGTGCGGGGTTTCCAATAATGGTGCTACGGCATCATAGCAAGCAGAAGCTTGACCAAATATGAGATTCGGTCTTCGTGCCTGTGTGCAGAGGACATGATATGCCAAAAGGGCTATACGAGCAAAAAAAGGTTCTGCGCCTTGACGCCATGTAGTCTCCGAAATTACTCGAGACGCAAAGCGAAAGTATGGAGAAAGTGATAAAATCTCATCACGGCGTAAATCACGTGCCAAAATAGGTGCCTCACGCCTGGGAATTGAAGATCGTCTTCTACCTCCCCTTGACCATGAGCGACTCTTGCTATTGCCTCTGATCTTATTATTACTCTTGTTATTATTGCTGTCCTTGCTTGTACTGTCAACTGTGTTATCGTTGTTGTTGTTGTTGGTATTATTATTATTATTATTATTATTATTATTATTATTATTATTATTATTATTATTATCTCCTCCGCAAGCTAACACTGGAACATCAAAAGCCTGAGGAACCAAACATTCCGTAAGAAACGCGAACCATCTACCAACAGATTCTTCATTTGCTTCTGCATGCTGTTTAAGACGCAAGAGTTCCACTATAAGAGGAAGTAAAGATGCCGCAAAATCACCTTGACCATCCAATCTCTTCCCCCTATATTCATTAAAGACAGAATCAAGAGCATCCACTACGACACCGTATAGAACAGCACTATAGCTAGCTATCTGGAGTACACACTCTAAAACCTGTTCCTGAAGAAGATGTGGATAACTATATTGTGCGGCAGAGTTGTTGTTTAAAGATAATCGTAAAAGGCATGTACAGATATCTCTTAGATCTTCTTTTTGAGAAGCCCATGCAGTCGCACGCACTACAGCTTTTGTATTCGTTCCCACATCTTGTGTTAAGTTGGGTGCTGTTAACCATTGAAGCACATCTAAACAATAACCTAATCGACGTGCAGGAGAGTCGTGCATACCAAGCCACACCCCTTCTTCACGTAGTCGTTTAACTCGCAATTGGGTTGAAGAAGAAGAAGAAGGCGACGACGACAACGGAGAATTTTCACGCCCTCCTTTTACTCCCACACGCAATGAAGATGGAGAAGCATCTTTTTTTTTCTTTGGAGGTGATCCACGGTTATTACTACGCACAGATGAAGATACCCGAATCGTATCTTTAGCAATACTGTATAACTCATCTCGAAGTGTTAACACTAATCCCTCACCTGACATTTTGTCTAATACACGGGCACGTAATTTTGGTTCTGCAAATGATGACATACTCACAAGAGCTGCTAATCCACGTAATGTTAACCCTTTCGTCATGGCACTAACTCCCGCACGGCCAGAAACTATATCCATCATCAATCGTTCTTTTTTTTGGTAAACCATCATAGTAATACCATCATATTTTGATGAACATACGGCTGGTGGTAAGGCTACATCTAAGAGGAATTCTATGAGGTAACACTCTTGTAAGGATTCTAGAAAAGGAATTGTAACTGGAAAAGATTGCCAATATGATGCAAGTTCACTAAGTTCTGTTTCAATATCACGTAGTTCGTTATCAGGTGATAATACTTCCAATTTTCTAGCCTCACCACATACGAAACATAACATTCCCAATAGTGACATGTTTGATGTAATCATTGTACGCAAAGACGGGGATTCATTAGCATAGACTAAAAATGTCTCTACACATTTACTCAAAATTAGAATGAGCTCTTTTTTCGGTTTATAAGTTGGTGTAGGAAATGTTGAAATAAGAAAAGAACTTCTTCGCATCGTTGTTGTTGTTGTTGTTGTATTATTGATGGTATTAGTGCTACTACTGATATTTCCACGTCTGTTCATATCACGTGTGGTGGTGGTGGTGGTGGAAGAGGAAGAGGAGGAGGATGATGTTATTGACCGAGATGGGATAACACGACCTCTGCGTGTAGCCTTTATGAGATACTTTGTGTCTCTCCACGTTAATGTGTATGCATGATTGAGTAGTTTTAACACATCTGCCGCTGCCTTTCGATTTCGAAGTATCATCTTTGCATCTAACTTTCTTACAACTGTGAGGAACTGTCGGGATGTTAATTGTCCATCCAGATTCACTACATCCTCCTGTGAAGAGGAAACGGATGCTCCTGCAGGACGCAGTGTGGTACTGCGAGTTCCTGTACTAGAGACACTCATACTGTTCTTACACTCTGTGTTGGTTACTGTAATCCATGGAGACTCTTCACTATCCTCCAAGGCATCCCAGTCACGGGGTGAGGAGACGAGTGAGTGTGTTGGGGAGCCACCGGGTGATGGGTATGCCATGATGATCACATCTTCCTCTGTGAACTCTGGCTGGGCGGCGATCAGTCTGGCGTGCAGTTGCTGTAGTGCTATCTGGAGAAATCCATCCTCCTCCTCTTCATCCTCAGGATCAGGCGTTTTTTTTCTGATCGGGCTTTTCTTCATTTCCAATCTAAATACAGACACCCAGTGAAAGAAAGAATATATATATATATATATTGTTATAAATAAATAAATAAATAAATAAATAAGAATGAAAGAGGGGGAAACAAAGAAACTCTTCTTTATTGTTTTCCAGCTCTTGCCCAAGACGTGAGTCACCACCTTCTACCTCAATCCCACGTTGGCCTTACATATCGTTGTTGTTGTTGATGATATAAAAGAAAAAAAAAAGAAAAAAAAAAAGAGTCAGAAATAAATAAACCAAAACACATGTATAATGCGTTAACGCAGAGAATATTAATATTCATAACCTTAACTGAACAACGGATGAAAGAGAAGAGAAAAAAAAAATAAAAAAAAAAAGCCAACCTGTAGAAATAATCCCAAATGTTTTTTTTTATTTTAGATTGCATAATGATAACCACTGAAGGAGAGATGATATTCATCATGCGAAACCCAAATGATGTTTTTTTTTTTTTATTTTTGCAAAAAGAAAATCGTTTAAAAGAAAGCAATCATAAAAATAAATAAGAAAAACATAATAACAATAACAATAATATTAATAATAAAACTCTCAGGGTTCCTTGATAGGAAGTGACCACGCTGTCTCAGTATCAAGATCAGCAGTATTGAGACTTTTTATGTAATCAACAATTTTTTCGAGACCCTCTTTCATGGATATTCTCGGATTCCATCCCACTAACTCTTTTGCCTTCTCATAGGAGCCAAGCACACGTTTTTCCACTTCACCCTCAATAAGGTTTTGATCTAGTGGATATGAACCTTTACTCAAGTGAGAATACGCATTCCAAAAAGACTTGGCATTTTGAAAATATGGTTTTATATCTTTCCTGTTTGTTATCTCTGCCACCATGTCAAACATCTCTCTTGTGGAGTATGATTTCCCCGACGCGACATTTACAATTTCACATTTGGCCCTCGCTGCGGTCATGAGAAGTTCTGCTAAATTAATAAGATCCATGATGTACACATAATCTCGCTGTTGTTTACCCGTTCCATGCAATACCGGACGACGTCCACGCACCAACTCTCTTGCAATGTATGAAGTAAATGGTGGACTACGACGACGTACATCCTGGTGAGGACCATAGACATTGAAAAAACGCATAATCACAAAGTCCATCCCATACGATACACCAAAGGATTTTACTAATAACTCTGCTTGATATTTTGTGAGGGGATAAATTAATTTCGGTGTGACTGGGAGACTTTCCACTAAAATAGGTTCAGAATTGTTTTCATACACAGCTGATGTACTGGAGAAAATAAAACGACGCACACCAGCCAATCGAGAGGCTTCCAAAGCACTTGCAGCTCCAGCAATATTTACATCCGCTGCATATCGAGGATTTTGCTGACACACTGGTAAAGCACTTATAGCTGCAAAATGAAATACGGTATCAACACCTTCATAAAATTTATATGTACGTTCATCAAGCACATCTGCTAATACAAACATACCAAATCGTTTTCCATTAACTATTAAGTTATCCTTATATCCAAACGCCATATTATCTAAAAGAATTACTTCATAACCTTGACGATGGAAATGTACACCAAGTTGTGAACCAATAAATCCCGCACCACCTGTAATGAGAATACGAAGAGGTCGGTTGTTTTTATCCCGTTTTCGCTTTTCCATTGGAGGAAAACGTGTGTAGATGATTCTTGGCGGCTCAAACCTCGCGGGATTCACGCCTGTTGCGGGGTTCTGCACATCTACACCCGGTTTGTGTTGCACATTCAGTGCGCTGCCTTCCACGTCGAAGAAAATATACACAAGGGACACACCGAAAAGTGATGTTAATATCAATACGGAGAGGAATAGCAACTTGCGGGTGCGAGGGATTTTCATTTTTTCAAGAGTCTTCTTTTTCTTTTTTTTTTTTTNCCGGGGAGGAGACCATTGGGGAGCAATTTATGCACCATTACGTTTTTTTTTTCTTGGTTTTTCTTTCGTTCCATTATTCTTTTTTTTTTTTTTTTGTTAAGGAACATTTTCTGTTTCTGTGTGGGTGTGGGTGTGACCTCTAATTGGTGAGTTTGGTTTTTTTTGTTTTTTTTTTTTCATTTTTGTAATGAAAGGATGGATAGCAGAGAGTCAGATAGATAAAGATAGAAAGAGAGAAATAAATAAATATACAAAGAAATAAGAAGAGCGAGACCAAGACAAAAAAGAAACAAAAAAAGGAACAGAGTAACAAGAATTAAAAAACAAAGATGGAAAAAGAGAGAAAAAAAAGATTAGGCCGTCAAGCCTAGAAGGTTGTTTCAGTTCATTCAGAGAAACAATACTGTCAACTCGAGCAAAAATAGAAAAAAAAAACTTTAAATAAAAAAAAAAAGAAAGGTAATGAGAAATATAGAGAAATAGATAGATAAATAGACGCAGTAAATGAGAATTGAAGGAGGGATGCATGTAGGAATTATTTTTCGTTCTGTTTCCCTCTTCATTTCCTATGTTCGTTGTTCTTTATGCGGTACCAGTGTGATACACTCTCACTCCACACCTCACATAAATACCCAAATATAAATATATATATATAATAATCCTACTTACTTGCCCTCTTTTTTTAGAGACGCAGAAAAAACTGAAATAAGCAAAAACAAAAAAAAAAAGAAAGAACAGAGAAAAGATTTCTCTCTCGTTTAGTACGATAGGTGGAATGCAGCTGGTGCGTGCTCTAACATCCGCCGTCTTCGTGCCTCTTCTTCCACACGTTCACGTAAATGACGCAGTAACGCCACACGCACGACTTTATCCAAAGCGTAGGCGTAATCCAAATGTTGATCCATTGGTGTATTCATCTCATTATCTGTATTTGATACTTCCATCTTATCAGGGACTCGGCAGGGAATTCCAAGGTACTCACACACTTGCAAACACCCACGACGATTTAGCGACAAGTAAAGCAATTCACCCGCTTCCTTTAAGAGAGAGTCACTAAATTGACGTGAACCACGCGACCCAAGGCCGGATGCGAGAATATCTTTACTCTCAATAACTTCTTTACAAGATGGACAAGTCACTGTAGTCCCTGCGGCGACATCACTGGCCGCCAACCAACCATCACAACTTGGCACCGGACACGCCACTCGCACCGTCCGCTGTACTCCTTGATATTCCTCCAGGAGATCTGTCATGAGTCGCTCAATCACTTCCAGTACTTCCTCAGCTCCTCGTGATTCGGTTTCAGTGGAGAAGATGCGGATCGCGTGAAGGCCTTCACGATATAAGAAAACGCGGCAGTTATCACCACGGAGCCACATGGCATCATTCCAACGATTATGTTCATCATCGGCTTCAAAAAGACGGTAGTCATCTAATACGTTTTCATCCTTTTCCTCTGCTAAAACACTATGTGGTTCATGAAGAACAATAACTTGAAGATATTGGTGAAGTTGTGCTTGCAAACGCCACCACATTTCATTTGGGAGAAGATTAAACTCAAACATTACTTTCGCTCCACGATTAAAAAGAATTGGAGAAAGTTTTTTTAGACTATTTGGAGCATCATAAGGAGAGAGACTTGGTACAAAGTAACGTATAACTTTATGTTCATTAAGAATAGGATGTCCTTGTTCAGGATCTATAGGTGTTTCCTCTTGCAGTATAGCTAATTCATCACATGGTACATCCACAGGATAAAGTAAATTGAGAGCAGTGAGAAGTTGCATAGCCATTTTAAAATCTGAATCATCCGGTTCTCGACCCAAGGCATCTTGTAAAGGAAGACGAAAAAGAATACGAACCAATGGCCATCGAAGGAAACCTTTACTCATGAGATGCATATCTGCAGCTTCTGCTTGACTTACAGTATATTCAAGACCTCCTATAATACTGCGAAGGTGTAGTGGTGTATGAAGTACGTGAGCGTATGAAAATAACGCCGCAGCAAGACGACTTAACCATAAAGGATGCAATATTATAAATGTATTCTCTGATAAACGGTATGAATTAAAAAGATAAATCATATTCCAACTTTGCATTAGACGAGCAATTTGAAGAAGTTCTGTATCGGATTCTACACCAAATTGAACTGCAGAATGTACGAATTCTCCTAATGGCATTAGTATTTTTTGTGGAAATCGTTTTTTCTTTTCAGTTACTTCATCTATTAATCGAATGTGTCTCCCAGGTATACCAGCTGAAGGAAAATCAATATCCTCTACACACTCTTTGTGGGCTACCTCAGCAAAGAAATGAAGTAAAGCACTTATTTTTCCTCCAGATAAATGTCGTAATCCTCCAGCCGCAATGAGGTAACGACCTTTACACGACACAGCAAAATTGCCTATAATTTCGTTAGTAATTGGTAAACCAGTATTGGGATCTACAACTGCAATACGTCGCATAAATCCCATAATTTTATCCTCTACTTTTGAGAGTATTCTCTCTACACTACGTTGTCCTTGAACTCGAAGTTCATCAAGATGTGTAGCCACAAGAGCTACTTTTGCTCGTGGATATTTGGCGTATACTTCTGCAATCCACTTATACAACCGTTGTTCTTCACTGGCACTGATACCTGAACTCTGGAAATCCTGTTCCACTGCTGATATCTTCCACACTAAGAGAAAAATAGATCGATCAGTAAGAAATAGTGAGTTTGAATGATACGCTTCTTGACCAGCAAAATCAGAAAAGACAAGTTGAACGTGATCATTACCAACACGAACACTTTGAATGCGTACTTCCACTCCAGTTGTCGTCTTTACATCTGGAAGTCTTTTAAAGAAATATGGCTCAGATTCAAAACACTTACGAAGGGATGTCTTCCCCACTTCCTGATGACCCAGTAAAACAAGTTTACGACGAAATATTTGTTTATTCGGATAACGTTGTCTGGAATACATATGTTTAGCAGCTTGAAGTAATGAATCACGTAAATGAGGATCTACATGTTGGTGTTTGTCATCCAATAAAACAGAAGTTGTACTATTCCCGAGAGAATGCGAATCCACAACAGAACCCATAGTAAGATATCGAGTTAAAACACTCCCATATCCCATTTTACCCAATCCTTGTAGTTGCTGATCCACATCACGGAGATTTGATGCGTCAGTTGAACTTTTACCTTCAACTGTATTAGATGAATCCTTCACAGATTGTGAGAATGAAGAATCTTGAAGAGTTGGGCCTTGAGAATGATCCTCTGCAAATTCTGATTCTTTCACCTTCTCAGTATTTTCCTTAACTTCCCCATGCGGCTTTAACGCTATTGATGATCCCTCTTGCAAAGGATTGCTATGTAAATCTGACTGAAGCTTTTCACCACTGCCAATCTCTGATGGCAACTCCGAACCCTTTGCTTTATTTATACTACTCTCTTCAACCTTAGCTCCTGGATTACTTGATTCATCATTTTTAGCTTCTCCCACAACAGTAATTGGTATATCAGCTGTGTTTGGTTCATTAACAGCAGTGGGTTCATCATTTTTAGCCTCTCCGAGAGCAGTAGTTGGTTTATCACACATTTTTTCTCCCCCAACTGTAGAATGGGATGGAATAGAAACGCACGCAGTCTCTATTTTTTCTTCTGGCGCCAGAGGCGTCCTATGGTTGTCTTCCGTGTTCGTCGACGCCTCTTCTTGAACCTTCTCGCTGTGGGTTTCCGCCCCTGCAGAAGAGAGAACCGGCACGACGTCAGCGCCAATGCCTGACATTAGTTAGAATAAAAACAGAGCCGAACGCACAGAAAAGACCTATTCAAAAGTTGATATATATATATATATATATATATATATATATATGCGTGTATAATTAATTCTCTTCCTGTGTTTTGGTCTTAGGACCAGTGTGAGTCCTGCCTAATGAACCAAAAGGAAACGAAATAGAAAATAATAGTAATTAAAATACAGAGTAGGAAAGGTAACATGGTGCAGCATTGGGGTGTAAGGAAAGAATAATAATAAAAAGAAAAACACTGTATAAAGGAAAAGCACAAAGAAAAAAAGTAAGTTGTAGAGATGAGAAATTTTTTCCTCTTTTCTAGTTTTGTTTTTCTCGACTCTCCGTCGTTCAGTTAGCACTATATAAATAAAAATATATAACGGAAATATGTAGAAAAAAAAACACCAAATTAGAGGTGGGAAGGCAAATGTAAACCGATGAAATGCTGTTTTGGCTATTCTTTCATACAAACACATTCCTTTTGCCTTCTTTTTCTAGGGACATGCATGGCAAAAAAAAAAAAAAATTCTTCTTGTTTTTATTTCGTATCCGTTAACATCAGCCTTTCTTTTTTCTTCTTCTTCTTCACACTCTCAGTCTTGTCTCTTGTATGTGTGTGCGGGTGTTTTTTTTTTTTTTTTTAAGTTATTGTTTCTACTGAATAACTGCGCCATCTCTTATTTCTACAAAAAGTGTAAAAACATGAATGTGGAACCCACCTTAATATTTGCAGTCATACTTGCCTCAGAGGTGGAGGATGCGTTTAGGTACAAGAAAGAAAAGAAAAAAACTCAGTTATACCCATGTACAAACACAAACACATACAAGCATACATGCGTACATGCATGTATGCTTGTATGGGTTAGGAAATCAAAGGAATGAAATTTTAAAAAAAAAGATAATGATGAAGTAGCAGACTCAACATCAATATTAAATACGAAAAGGTGAGAGGAAAGAAGATTGATTGATATGTCATTACACAGTACGGTTAAGGAATTGCACAACGCACGTAGCATTAATGTCCATCAATATTAAATTCTTTTCTTCTCCCTGCTATATATATATATATATATATATATATATACATATTACTTTCTTTTTTTTTTCTTTCATTCTCTTCGTTTTTCCTTCGTTTTTTCTTTCTTTTCAGTCATCCCCATAGACACACTCTTCCACTTACTTTTTCTCGCATCTACCACTCTTTACGTATATAACTCATTACGAGTATGTGAATAAGTGTGTACATTCTTTTCCCCTTATGCTATGTCATACAATACATTCTCTGTCATTCGAAAGAAGGAAACATCTGGCAGAACACATTAATTTAATCACATATTACTCACTAATATCCAAATAATTCTTTCTTTATTGATTCCTCACTTCTTTTCACCATTTTCTATCTTACTTCTAGCTCATTACACCGTATTTTTCCTTCTTCTTTTCTTTCTCTTACTCTACCTGCCCATATGGAGATAATAACATCGGCACCTCCGACAAGGCCCACGACACACTCCATGGGCAAGAAGATGGAAAAACGAGTAGAGTAAATACAAATACGGAGAAAGGGTATACTTTCTTCTTTTTTTCTTTTTTTTTTTTAAAGAATAGCAATGATACAAAATGAAGTAACGAGGAAAAAGTATGTATATCGACGCCGAAATAATAATAAAAAAAACATCGGATAGAAGAAAAACCGTACTGAAGCTACGAAACAAATGGTTCTGAGTAGAAACTCCCAGAGGCAAAAAAAAACAAAAAAGAACATATGCCCATTTTTTGCAATACATTAGTTGTATAGAAAGATTTTTTTTTTTCAATCGGAATTGCCTTTTTTTTTCTTTCTTCTTTTACTTTTCCTTTTTTGACTTGCCTTCATGACCACTGTTGTTGAATATTCTACCTTAGCAAAAGAGATTCTGTAAATACCGTCACTATAGCCGCTATCATCGTCAAACCTCATCACCGCCAATACACTATTACCATTATACTTAACGCTTACAAGAAATACTCTGGCATTGTGGTCTTTGCCTGTTCTCGTGCCTCATCTGGTGCTGCCTCAAAAAGTTTAAAGTTTTTATTGAGGTGTTCATCTAATTCTAATATCGACGCCACGTTTTGGCAGCGATAGCAGTAATTTGGTGCTGACCATACTGTCACGAGAGTATCGCCGAACATCACTCTGTACCCCTCCATAACCAGTTGATGAGATCGGCAGAGGAGCTCTAGCTTGTTGGTCTCAAGGAAGTTGCGGACGACCTCCTCGCCGTAGAGATAGCCGGCACCTCGGGGGGAGAGGCCCCAGCCGTCGATCTCCTCCGGGTCCGACCAGAGAAGATCACACATCGCCCCCTCATGCGGGACCTCGCAGCGCCGCTCAATCGCCTCCATCTGACTGACAGTGGAGATCATAGGCGAGAGACCCGCATGCACGCACAAGATCTTCTCCTCCACCACACATACAAGTGGAAGAAGGTCAAAAACATCTGTGCAATAGCGCCAAACATTGACACTGCCATATTTGCGTAAACATTCATCGTAAAAACCGTATACTTGTGTAATTTGGCGTGATTCATGGTTTCCACGCAGGAGTGCCACACGATTGGTATATTTTACCTTAAGGGCAAGGAGAAGTAGAAAAGTCTCTACTCCATGGTGTCCACGATCTACATAGTCACCCATGAAAACGTAGTTTACATCAGGAACATCCCCACCCACACGGAACATCTCAATCAAATCAAAAAATTGAGCATGAATATCACCAACAATAGTACATGGGGCACGTATAACGTGGGTGTTGGATTCTGCATCAAGGATGACACGGGCTCTGGTGCACAACTTCATCACCTCAGCTTCTCGGGGACACATCCCCTTGCTGACAGTTTCCAGAAACTGATCAATTGAATCCATAAGCCGTTTATTCTCACTAAGAGTTGGTTTAATTCTAAAACCTTATTCTTTGAAGTAGAAGCAAAAGAAAAAGAAAAAAAAAAAAGAAAAAAGAAAAAAGCCACATATTTCCAGAGAGTAATAATATCAATAATAAGTGTATTTGTTATTCTTGTTGGATTATTATGGTTGTTCTGATTCTGGTAGAACCAATCGTAGAAATAGCGATAGCAGCACTAGTAATGCCACCAGTACGAACTAGATAATTGTATATAAGAAAAACTCTGGCTCATCAAACATGAGACCACACAAGAAAAAAAAAAAGAAACAGCAAAAAAAAAGAAAAAGAGGAGGAATAGAAAAAGAGTAAACAACCTCTTATATACACAAAGTGAAAAAAAAACAAAAAAAAATTGCGTCAAATGATAAAGTAACAGACGAACTTTTAAACATATAATTCCATGCTCCAGTGTACTTGTGTGTGTGTGTAGATCTATATTTGTGTGTAATTTTTTTTTTTTTTTTAGTATATCTTGGTTTTCACAGGTTCACCTTCTGCGGTCATAATGGCCCAGTGCATCAGCAAGTATAGCATCATCAAGAACACCGCAGTTGTCAACAACCCCCTTCTCAACAAAACTGCGGTAATCAAAATTAGCATATTTGTCAATACGTCTCTCCACATCGCAGCTGTAAGAATTTTTATCCATCTCTGTTACAAAGGACAAACGAGTACTCAAGTTATTAGATTCAGTATTCACTGTTATAGTACCAGGTGCCGGTGTTTCACCATTGTGACGAACACGGAATTCTTGCATCATACTCCACTTAACAGAATTAGATGCTGTCCTCCCCATACCTACCTTACCAGCAATATTGTTTGTTCCTGTGGTGGATGGTGACTGGTATACATTTTTTTCCTCTTGTTGTTTCCTCTCCAAACGTTGCATTAACTCAGCGGTGGTAGGTTGTCGGTGCTTCAATAATACAGAAGCCTGCTCAGAAGCATTTTCCCTCATGAGAGCGCGCATTCGTTCGTATTCCTCCTTGAAGGAGGGATTTTGGGCATCATACTCTGCGCGTCGCCGCATTTCTTCTTCACGTCGCTTCTCAAATTCACTTCTGTCCTTTTGTTTAGCTTCTTCCTCCATGCGTTTACGTTCTACAAACTTGCGTAGTTCTTCCGCCGTAAGTTCAACATTCGGATCCATCATTGGATCATATGCTCGTGCCTGTCCTTCAATGTGTGTCCGAAGTCTCTGACTATCGTACAATTGACGTTGTGCTGGATCAGATAAAATACTGTGAGCGAAACTGATCTCTTTAAAAAATTCCACACCATCGGGGTTTTTATCTGGATGGTATAATACGGCCAATTTGTAGTATGCACGGCGGATTTCAGCATCCGTTGCGCACTTGGGTACACCCAGCACATCATAGAGAGCACTGTTCCCTCTCAGTTCAAATATATCCGAGCCCATTTCCACTCTCTATCTCACCCTGTACGCGCAAGTGATTGATTGTGTATTAACCGCTTCAGTCGATGTTGATGTATGTATTTCCTCTGCTTCGTTGATTCTTTAATTGTTTTTTCTTCCTTATTCTCAGATTATATATATATATAAATATAAATATAAATGCCTGTCGGCTGCTTCCTTATGGAACTCCTGTGTAGGTAATAATGTGTTCGGAAGAAAAGAAAAAAGAAAGAAAAAAAAATAAAATAAAAATAAAAAAACAGGATGGGGTCTTGTATCATTAGTTTTTTTTTCCTTTATTTGGAAGGAAAAAAAAACAGTATTCCATATTCTTACTTTGTTTTTTTTTTTTTCCATCTTCTGACATGTCTTCATTTTTGTGTTCTCTCTCCTCTTTTTTCTTGGTATTCCCTTTTGGCATTTAACTTGTACTTGTACTGCCCCCTCACCCCTTTTCCCCATCCCCCGTCACGAAGAAATGGGATAGGGAGAGGGAGAGGCAAAACACACACATACACACACAAGCTATGCTGCCCAACTCCCTGTCTTCTTCGTCGCTCGTCCACGGTTTTTCATAGTGTATGCAGAGTAACTCTTACCGCCAAACCCAGTGCGCTTTAATCCTTTCATAAGACCACCACTATTACTGCCACCAGTCATAGAAGACTGACTAGATGCCATACCCACTACAACTCTCCGAGATGTTTGTCCAGCACCAGCCAACCATGGACACATGTAACCTTCTGCCTGCATATACAACGAACGTGGTTTACGCACATGTGAGACATATTTTTCCAATACCATTTCTAACCGCTTCTTGCGCACACTTTTTCTCATTGGAGGCCTTAGTGTTGCAGATTCATCAGATTCAAAAAGACTTGCATGCTCTCCTTCTTCTATAAAAGTGTGTTGTCCTTTAGCCTCTGCCTCTAAAAGTCTTTCATACCCTCGAGCGCCTGAATGTTGCACAAAGTACTCAAATGAGCCCTCTTGAGTTGCGGGAAGCTGTGCCAAAGAGGCTGTAATCATACTCTTTGGTATACGAACACCATTGATAGCACGTACAGTGTCCCTGTCATCGTCAAGAGTAAATGGAAGCTGTGGTGCCACTGGTGTACTGACTAGTGGCAACAGTTGATCATCACTACAAGTAGAAGGTAGTGGAATTTCATTACTAACTTTTGGAGAAGTGAGTACGGAACACTTCTCAGGTGTAGCTGTATCCCTTTCCTCCAAATTAAAATCATCTTCACGGCGATGATAAAGTGATTCTCGAAGTGATGCACGAACACGGAAACGCCTGGAGGAGTTTGCCACAGAAGAAGAAGAAGGAGAAACAAAAGCAGGAGGTGTAGCTTTTATCGTTGATGATGCCTCAATTGTCAACGGTGTCGAGGAACATTCCTTAGTCAATGGTGCAAGATCTACAACACTTCCAAGTGTTTTTTTATCAATTCCATCATTATTATTATTACTATTATTATCATCATCAAAGCAATGCAATAAATGTTTTGCAACCTTTTCTTTTGTTGAAAGAAATGCTGCTTTGGGAGATGTCGCCAAAATTTTCGCCTTAGCTTCTTCATGCATTAACACAAACCGTTCCAATGACAAATTATCCTCTCTCGGTACAATAAAGGATTCAACAGGGTAACGTCTTTCTACTGCAGTTATTTCATCTGCAGATGGAGGTGAGTAACTTAACTCCTTAAATTTTTTATAGGTTAAGTCTTCTGTACGAGCAAGGTCCAGTGTACAATAATAAGTAATATCATTTTGTAAAGCTGTAATGTTAAGACATTTTTCTGGAAACTTTGGATTAGATCTAACACCCAGTGTTGGAACCTTATCACTGCCCACAAATTTCCATATATCTTCCATTTGTCGTTGGAGAGCCACATTGTCACCATGAAATCGATCTATTTTATTAAGAATTAAGGAAAAAGGTATTTGTTCCTCCTGTAAAAAAGCTAGAATTTCTTCGTCTCTAGGTTGAATTGCCTTTGCAGCCTCCATTACCCAATATAATCTCTTTAAAGCACCTCGTTTACGAAGAGCAAGATAGCGAAATAGAATAGCAAAAGCACTTGCACGTTCAACCAAATTTTGAGAGAGTTGTCGCCCTTTCCATCCACCGTAACCAGGAGTATCCACCAACAGCATAGCATCTCCAACATTAAAAAATTGCAATAGCCGTGTGGTTCCACGTGTACGACCTGAACGGCCTAATCTATGGTTATGCAGCAAACACGATATAATTGATGATTTTCCAACATTAGGTTTTCCAATAAAACACACTTCAGGAAATGAATGTAATCCCTCTGGTAAGGCAGAGAGGGTATTAACATTCTTAAGGTGTACATTACCTTTCGAAAATACCTTATCACTGAGCTGTGATACCATCTTTTCACGTAATGATATTTTTGGAGGTTTTACATGAGAAATCAACTGTTTTTCTACATGTTTATAATGCTCTTGTTCCTCTTCTTGTACTTGTTGTTGTTGTTGTTGTTCTTGTTGTGATACCGTAAGAACTTGGTGTGATGGTATAGATCTAGGCGCTCTGAAGAGAAGCGGTCGACAAAAAGAACGCATGAAGCTAACAGGTTAATACCTGCTACAACTGTACGTACTACCAACAAATGTCTCCCACTCGAGGAAGTTAACTCAGAGAGACACTGTGCATTCTATTCTCAAGATATTTCAAATTAAAACGAGAACGAAAAATAGAAGTATTCAGACACAAAAAAAAAAGAAAAACCCCTCTTTCCAGAGGGTAAAATAATTAAATAATTAAACATAAGAATAATATATTCAGCAAATGCATTTTTTTTTTTTTTTGGTTTCTTTTACCAAATACAGGAAAAGTATGTCAGCTACATTTGCAAGAAAGAAAAAAAGATACAAATTATAAGAGGAAACAGAATTCGCCTTGCTTATCACTATCCTTCGCGTAATATCCTAGTAAAAGATGAGCACAATTCATCCAAAAAAAATGATTCATTTTCTTAACCTCTCTTTCTCTTTTTTCTTTCTTACTTTCATTCCACTCCCTTTCTACAACGCTCAGAATCGTTTTTACTCCCTTTTTCTTCTAATGTATTCTCATGTTCTTTTTTTTTTTTGTATTTTGAGTTATACCCCTCAATGAATGATGAAAATAAAGAAAAACGAAACATGTTCTCCGTACCTCCATTCTGCTACACGTCCATCATCATTTATACATATACACGGACGAAACAAAGTGTCACACAGAGTGAATACTTAAGTCTCTAGAGACGTCATACCACCCGAATGCCGCTTTCGTGATGGTTGCTTTTTTTTGAAAAAAAATATATATATATATATATATATATATTTCCTTCGGTTTTGATTAGTTCTTCTTTTCAGCATTTTCAGAGTCTTCGTCTGAATCATGGGTAGCAACCAAGTTAATATGAATTCCTCCCTCCTCTTCAGTTTCCTTATCCTTCTTCTCCTGTTCTTCTTCTTTATCCTCCTCTTTCTTCTCCACTTCTGGTACGACTTCTTCAGTCTTTGGTGCTTCTGCTGTTTCCTCCTCTTTCTTTTGTTCCTGTTCAAGATCAAGTTCATGTTCCTCTTCCTTTTCCTCTTCCTTCTTCTCTTTATCTGTCTCCTCTGCCGGTTTCACCGCATACTTACTGCTTTCTGAATCCATGGATGAATCATTCTCATTTTGTTCCACGTGATGGTCGCTTTCTGCATCCATGGATGGAGCATTCTCATTGGGATCCACATGACGGTTGCTTCTCTGTTCTGGCAAGGGAGTTTCATCATCCGCATCCCCTCGTGGTACCTGCACAATGCGACTTTTAGCTTCACCAAGGACACCATCCTTACGCACTGGTGTATATGTAACGCGAATCATCTTACCCTGATCCTCCTTCTGCACTCTGTAGCTGCGTACACCTGTCTCAATAACCTCAAATGCCTCGGTATCTGGGTCCTCACGAGCCCACTCAATGATAGGCTCTCCAGGTTCTCCACCAAAGTAATCCACTTCAAGTTCCAAGGTATTACCAACAACAGGTTCTCCCACAACGTTAACAAAGTTCGTTTGTGGAACACCAGCAGAGACAACACCATCTGACTTTGCCGTTACAGCTCGTCCCTGTAAACCGTCAAACCGTACAGGTGTCACTGCGACCTCAATCGTACAGTCTACTTCACGCTTTGTGAGAGCAAGTGTCGCACTGTTCGGACGACCAACCTTAGTTAAGCGCTTGTTACGATCGCGACGGAACCACTGAATCATATGTGGTCCAAAATGGCCACCAGTGTATTCGTACTCAAGTGTCAAGACGTGTTGCTCCACCAATTCTCCAACAATTCGGAGATTGTGAATTTCTGGTGCAGATGGTTCAATAGGCTTTTCCAAAACACATCGACAGGTTTCACCCTCTTCTCCTTCCTTGTTTACTGGTGTATATTCAACAGCCAAACATTTACCAACATCTTCAAGGGTAGGAACATATCGTGTGGAGTTTTCACCCTCAATAGGGAAGTACTCTTCTGAGTTATCATCCTTGCGAAGCCACTGATAGTAACTCTCTCCTTCCACACCACCAGAGTATACCACTTCTACTTCCAGTTCACTCTCTTGAATAAGGCTTCCAATGATCTTAATGGACTCACACTCTGGAGGACCGGCCACCACAGGTGCTGTAACAACAGATTTAGGTTCACCTGCCACCCAATCATTTCGAACAGGAGTGAACTTTACTTTGATGCAACAACCAATATCGTCACATGTCAATTTGTATCCAGCCCATGGATCATTGATATCAATAGGAATTTCCGCGCCATCAGGAGTAATGCGGTACCAGTTTAAGGAAGAATCACCCTCAAGACCACCAACATAGTCTGCTTCTGCCCTTAGCACATGACCTTCCACTGCGTTACCCTTAATCTCAAGAAGAGGGCAAGTAGGTGGACCGGCGACAATTGGAGTAGAAATGTCAAAGTACAAGAAAGAGAAGAGTCCATCAACATATGCAAGCACCTCAGCACGCAGGCAACAACCCACATCCGCTGCAGTTGGTGTGTACACCAGTGAATTGTTATCTTCAATAACTTCATAATGGTTACCCTGAGTGCTTTTCATCCAACGGATATGTAAAATAGTATCCCTGTCATCAGTGGATTCTTCCAATTCTGTAACCCTGTGAAGGTAACAGTATCCTTGTTTGTGCTTTGACAAAACACCATTTGTCTCAGGAAGAATTTCAGTACCATCGACAATGTATCGGTACTCATAATCTCCCTTTGGCAGATAGAGAGTTGTGTGGAAGTAAACATTACCATCTTCTTCACAGCGATCCAGTTCAATAGGGTCAGTCCAATTGTTCATGGATCCAACCACAAAGACTTCAGTTGCATCACCTGCAACGTTAAAAACCACAGGCATAAGATAACGTGAATGAAATGCATCAGCAGTTCTCTGATGATATGGACGAATATCTTGCATGCAGCAACTTAAACGAACTGGTACACCTTCTGTAAGAACATTACAAGTTTCATCCTCTGGTGCAAGACGAATAGAACATAATTGTAGGTATCTGGCCTTTTCTCGTACACGTTGAAGTTTAAGTAGGAACGCATCAGCGGCTTCTTCCACGTTATCACCCTCAACAATGAATCCTTCGCAAATACAATAAACAATCTTTCCTTGATAGTGTTCCAGAGCGGCTCTTTCTTCTCCCTGAACAGGATTACCATCTATAGAAACGAGATTTGGATTATTGATGGCAATGGCCATGCTTCGGTATGATGGAATTTCCGCCACAGGGTTCCCCACAAGATTGAGGGTGTGCAATGAAGGAAGATTGGGGTAGTGCTCAAAGGATGAAATACTGTTAAAATTAAGAGAAAGAACCCGCAAGTTGGGGAGACGCTCCAAACCTTCGAAACTGCTGATAGCATTGTCACTGAGGCATACCGTTTCCAAACAAGAAAAGTTTGAAATTCCTTGTAGAGATTCAATCTTATTTCCTGTCATGTAGAGATGGCGCAGAAATGGAGTCTTGCTCAAGAAATCCACCGATCCACCAATATCATTGATGGATAAATCAAGTACCTTGAGATTCTCCATATTAGCTTCAGTGTCGAACTCTGTAAGGTCATTCTCACGTAGGTAAAGATACTCCGCGCTGTAGTTCTCCACTGTCACTTCTCGTACACTGCGGAGGCCCTTTTTGTTCAAGGTCAAGCCTGTTGGCCTGACGCTGGTGAACCTCCCGCCACGCCGCACAGCAAGCGCAGTCATTTGATAAAAAAAAAATTAAAGGTTTTGTTGGTTTTCTTTTCCTTGTATTTGTTCACTTTTTTTTTCCCGCTTTTTGTTTCTATTTGTTGTGTTGCTTGTTTGGTAAACGAAATTTTTTTTTTCTGGTCGTAACCCTAATTTAAAAGAAAGAAAAAAAGACCAAAGAAAAACAAGACAAAAAAAAAAGAGTTAAAATAATAATAGTGGTATCAGCAGTGGTGAGACGTAATAAAGAATAACGAAAAAAAAAAAAAAAAAAAAAACTAATAAAAGAGGAGAACAACGTGTATTATGAACGAAGGAAGAAAAAAAAAAGCAGAAAAACAAAAGCTCTTCACTGTTTAACGAACCGTAATTATCGCACTATATGTCACAAANCTAATTTAAAAGAAAGAAAAAAAGACCAAAGAAAAACAAGACAAAAAAAAAAGAGTTAAAATAATAATAGTGGTATCAGCAGTGGTGAGACGTAAAAAAAAAAAAAAAAACACTAATAAACTCGCATATTTACGTGTATTATGAACGAAGGAAGAAAAAAAAAAGCAGAAAAACAAAAGCTCTTCACTGTTTAACGAACCGTAATTATCGCACTATATGTCACAAAATAAGTAAAATAAATAATTATTATTATTATTATTATTATTATTACTACTGTTTTTTTTTTTTTTTCTTTTAAAGGGAGGGAAAGAAATAAATGAAAAAAAAGAAAATTTGGTCTCCTGCTCTTACGAATTTCCTCCTCCATCGAAGGAATGTTAAACCTTACGCCAAAACCATAGAAAGGGTTTAACAAAGAGAGGCGTTTTGGGAACTATTCGGCCGAAGCAATGGACTGTTGGAATGTGTGGAATGACAAGAAGAAGTATGACTATCTTTTTCCCCTCCTGCAGTCCAGGTATGGCGAAGAGGCATCACACCATTCGCACGGAGAAATACACTTCTATTGCTCTCTTCACAGACTTCACGCAACCTTCTCCATGAATTTGCCATTTGCAAAGGTGCATCTGCTTTGGGATCCATTTCCCCTTTAAATGAGGTTCTATGAATAAATTCCACAACGTCTCGCATTGTCACTATACCAATTATTTTACCTTCCCCACCTACAACAGCAGCAACTTGACCCACCATGTGGTGTAAACTTTCAAATAGTTCACTGCAAAGGGTCGTTTCTGGAAAACAACAAAGTGGACGCAAAGGAAGATCACAGAGACGTACTGACTCTTTTTCTTTTCGATATACAAAGCATATAAGGACCTTGGTTTCGAGTACATGTGTAACACTTGTTGAGTCATCAACATCATTGTATACAGCGATAAAACGAAGTCCCTTTAAAAAGATAGTCTTAGTAATCTCCTTCGTTACCAAAGTATCACGATGTAAACAATATACAGAATTAAGATCTTGTTTTAAAACATCTAAAGCTGTGCTTTCAGACATACTTAATGCGCCAAGAATAATACTAGCTTCTAAAGGAGAAATATCTTGATCATGAGGCATTAAAGAAGATTGTTCATTCTGAGATGAGGTAATTATATCTTCACCACATTTTTCATTTTGTAGTTCTTCTTGTAAGCGCACAAGTTCCTTCAATTCGCTACGACCCCAAAAAACTTTTTCCTTGTCACCAAGAATAATATCTAACAATTTTCCTATAGGCCATGTAATAGGTGATGTCAAGCACATCATAAATAAAACCACATAAGCCATCGCAGCACTTACCTGTAATGCGTAACGAACAAATATCGCCTGTGGTATAATCTCTCCAAAAACCAATATAATCCCAACAGAAACGAAAATTGCCGCTATAGGGTTTAGAAATAGATCAAATACAAGAGGCATCATTTCCACAGCCACGTCCTCCAAAAGGATAAGAGTCACCAAGAGCCAGTTAGGCTTATGTAATAGCATCATCACACGACGTGCCCTCCGTGCATCTTCGGTATTAGATCCTTGCATGAGGGCATTCAAACGGTTTGTATCAAGTGAAAACAAACAAAGCAATAGTCCAGATGATAATCCTGCAAGAATAGTAAGACAAACGATAACACCTCCCTTTACCGCGTCGGGTACATCGATATCAAAACCAAAAAAAGAAGAGTTGGTCATATCTCATCGAGTTTTGTTTTTTGTTTTGTTTTGCTGTAATCTAAGTCATGCATAAATAAATAAAACAAAAAAAAAAGAAAACAAAGAAAGAATAATAATTTAAAAAAAAATAAAAATGAAAAAATAAACAAATAATAATAATAATAATAATAATAATAATGTGAAAATGCCTTTTAATGAGTTCTCCAGATCATATTGTATGGTCCAGGGTATTTTATAGGGAGAGTTGATGGGAATGGAGAAGGATAAAAATCAAGAAAAGAATAAAAGCAATAATTATAGACATAAATAATTTTTTTTTGTCTTTTGAAAAAAATAAATAAATAAATCTATGTCTAGTGTACACTTATTAGACAGTCGTTACCGCTTTATCGATGAGAGGGGTTGATGCGAATTTGAAATTCCAAAAGTACCACCCAATGATTTATTAACTCTGTTGGAGCACCAAAGGCAAGCTTCAGTGTCATGATTTGGACCTCGACAAAGAGAATGATAAAGAGGTTCTCGATTTTCTAATTTCTTAGAAAAGGACTTTCGGGAATCTTCTACTTCTTCAATAGGCAGTTTATTTTGGGACTCTACATTGCATTCTTTACTGGGCAAACAGAATTCGATACCTCCACTTCTTTCTTTCAAACGAGGAGAAAGATTAACGATAAGAGTGGCCTCATGTTTTACTGTGTCATTAACATCACCTTGTATTAGTTTCTCTCTTGTAGTCAAATCAGTATTTAAAATACATTCTGTCACCTGTGTAGTTTTATCACACATTATCAGTGAGTTATTTTTCTCTTTTCGTGAATTCATTTGCGACTGGCACAATTGAAGGTCGGATTCTGTCTTTATTAATTTTCCAGTTAAAAAATCATTTTCTATATTATGTGCCTGCTTTGCAGCTTCTAACTTTTCGTACAACTCATCACGCTCTCTAGTAAGATTATCAATCTCACGCGTCAGCTTGATTATTTGTAAAGTGCTTTCAGAAGAATTTAACCCTGTAGAAGTATTCACACTGGCATTTGATTGTGTAATAACAGCACATTGAGTAAACGCATCACACTTAGATATATTTGTTTTTTCTAGGTTAGAAGAAAGTATTGTATTCTCCCGTTTAAGGTCAAGTACCAAGTTATTTGTATAACTTAAAGAAGACCGAAGCCTGTTTAGTTCTTCTTCATAACTTTTCATCATACTTTCATACAAAGAATGCTCAATTAATCCTTTACCCATATCTGAGAAATTTTCTTTAAAATATTGTAATGAACGTATTTCAATTTCCATGTTTTTAATCTTTTCTTCGTATATTTCCTTTTGGCGTACTGTTTCATTTCTTACCTCCATCATTTTCTTTCGAAGGTTTTCCATCTCTTTTAGTGCAAGAGAATACGCCAAATCTCGTTTTTCCGCATTTTCCAATAAAACAGCATTCATTTTTGCTGCAGTTCCTAATGCATCTTCCAAAGAACTTATTTGTGACATGGTACTCTCTTCCATACCTTCCTTTTCAGATTGTAATGAAAATTCTTTTTCTGTCGATAAAACAAGTAATTTTCGTAATGTTGTTACCTCCTCTTCATATTGTGTAAGTTTTCTTGCTGCTAAAATACACTCCATATTACGTGTATTTTCCAGCTCGTGAAGTCTCACAGAAATACCCTGATAAGTGTTAAGTTCTCCTTGAAGAAAATGAATCTTTTGCTCATATAGATATTTCAAATCATCAATATCATTCTTTGATTCAGCTAACAGACGACGAAGTTCCTCTTTCTCACCAGTAAGTTTTAGAAGTTCAAGTCTAGATAAATGCATTTCATCTTTAGATTGTTGTGGACGCAATTCACTTACACTCCATACAGTCTGTTGACACGGTAATTTATTTTCTCTTGTCTCAAAGTCTGATGAGATGGCAGTAGCTGTTGTGACTGCTGAAACCTGGCAAAAAGGCACACTATCACTTGAGAAAAATGTTACTGCAGCTTTGTCATTTATTGTTGTTGATACCTCTTTTTCTTCGTTTTCTTTTTCTTCTTCTTTCTCCAGAATATCTTCTAATGTAATCAATACTTCTGGAGGTGAACAATCAGTAGTCAAGAGACCCAAGGCACGTTTTTGGTTTGTATTGGTGTTCCAAAGCTCCTTTAAATCCTCAGCCAAATTTCTCAACCTCTTTTTGACCTTCAAGGTTGCATTTTCTCCTACAGTGATAAGTAAAGAGGAATCTCCCTGCAGATTTTGATCCTGATTTTTTCTCTCTTCTTTTCCTTCTCTTATTTCTGTTGATGAAATACTGATACCTTGGTGAGTAAGCTCTGGCACGTCAGATACGTTCCTAATTTTCTGGTTTTGTTTCACTGCCAGAACCTCCATTGGCAGCTGCGAAGGGTTAAAACAAGTAAGAAAGAAATCAAAAAGAAAAAAAAAATAGAAAGAAAAAAAAAACATATATATTAACAAGAAAATACAAGTAAAAATAAATAAAAAGACACGAAACCAATAAATAAAATGATCGATCATGCGTTACTAGTAGAATTTTGTTCATACCCTCGTTTTTTTTGTTTATTTTTCTTTTTTTTTTTTTTTTTTTTTTTTTTTTTTTTTTTTTTTTTTTTTTTTTTTTTT